CCCATCCAGGTTATTACTCAACCTCTAGAATACACCCCTTCCTCCTTGCCAACATTCTCCAACCCATTTCCTACTAATTCTTTAATGTCTACCGCCTCTTCCCTTATTACTACTCATCATCCTTATTGTCCTCCCCCCAACAGAACTACTTCACTCCACACAACCACATCTTCCTCTTGCCCTCGTCCTTCTCCTACCTCTACCTCTGTAAACATTTTGAGTCCTCTCTTTGGCCTAGCCAAATGGGGTTGATTATTTATTCTCCTCACAGCCCCCTACACTGGAAATACCCTTCTCTTTCAACAATGCCTCCAAAAACAAGTAGACAAAGTTACCTTTCGCAGTCACTCCAATTGTTCACGCCTTGTCACAGTTACATCTGAATTCCAAGCTCATGCACTATCTACTCTAACTGACCTCACTGGCAAACCCATTCCTGCAGAACCTCACACCTCTCTTACGACTTGTACTGGAACTGTTTCTATCCCCCCAAATGCTTGTCCTATATACAGCAAGAACTGGTCAGACTGTGAAAATGACCTACTTACCTGCCTTACTGATTATGATGCAGTGGCAGTACAATGCTACACTATTCCCCCCCAGAGTCCAGTGTAACTCCCATGCCATTGGTGGATTGTCCTACAATGTCCAACCATATTGACCCCTTCCCTGTCAATGTCAAAAATGTTGCCATTTTGGCTACCCAGCCAAACACTGTTGCTCCACAGCCCACTGCCCTCTATGTGCCCAACATAGTCATGACTTCATATTGCCCTACTCAGGCATGTACATGTGCCAACTGTAGTGACTCCCATAACATATTTTATAGGAGGTGCCCTGCCTTTAAGCTCAAATGTGAGGTAGCCATTCTCATATTCAAACTAGGCCTCACTCTATGTAAGGCCAGACAAGAAGCACAATGACAAGGTTTTTCTCTCTACCTTTTCTAAAACAGTCCCCCATCTTCACAAAATGTTTCTGCATCTTCCCCAGTATCTCTTCCCTCTACCCTGAACCACCTTACCTCGACACTCCCTATCCCCCAGATACTCCAATCTCTACCACTTCTCCAATTCCTCCCTCTCACTTTACCCATTGCACCAAACAATCTAAAAGTCCTACTCCATCTTTGCCTTTCACAGCCTCTCCTGTGCCCTCTTTTTCCTCTGCTCCTCAAATATCTATCCCCTCTTCTACTCACAAGAGATTCTTTGTTTCTCAGACCCCCCCCCCCCATCACACAATCCCATAACATTCTATAACCTTTGATATGTAACACTCTTGATCCTAATAGTTTACCCTTTTTTACCCTTCTCACCACAATACTTTACCATAGTACTAAATGACATTAGAGGTCTAGGAAATTTATATGTTTCAACCATTAACCATTTTTGTTAATGTTATTGCACTACTTTGATGAAATGAAATCTGTGCAAGGAAAATAGTCAATTACCACCTTGATATAACATATCATGACAAATATAGACCTTGGCAAACGGGTTGGGGGAAATGCGTAAGAAGAAAAGAAAAAATAATAATGCAAAGGGGAGGCAGGGAGTCTTGCCACCATATGTAAGTGTTCCTGTTCTCCAGGCCTAACTACCATACACCCAGAAGAGTCACCTCTTGTGGGTCCACATGCATCAGAATCCAATTAGTTAAAAATATATATACAAACGAAAAACAGAATAAAGCAGGGTATATTCAATACTTAGTTAATGCCGGATTTATTAAATATACAGTCTTAAACCGTACACTAACTTAATTAAAGCTCCTATATAAAGTATTAGTATTGCTGATATATAAATGTACACTAAATACACTTTAATCTCCACCTACAGCAAAGATGTTGCTGTCCACATACAGCTCACAGGCAAAGCACTTGGAAGAGTTGATGACAAGGACCCTAAAGTTGGGAGAAAGTAATTCCGCACTCATCTTAGCAGCGAGGGGAGTAGGGAAGTCAGCAGTATGTCTCAATTTCTTATGTTTTGATGATGGAATTGTTGTCATGTGAAATAATTTGTGTATTGGATTTTACAAATCGCAAGATTATTATTGTAAAATTTAGGCAGGTTTTTAAGTCTACTCTGATGATTTTTCTGGTCACTATTTACTTTTTTGTGGATTTCAGTATTATGCATGCAACTTCATGGTTTTAAACTCTCATAACCATATAAATGAAATTGTATTTCTTAGGATAATTTGCAATATGTGTATTCTTAATTCATATTACTCAATAAGCCAATCCAATTATATATTTTCAGCCAAAAAATCATCTTTTTTATGCTTTCCAGCTTGTGAACATCATATTGGAGAATCTCGCTTCCTCAGGAACTTTGGGGGAAGGAGTTGTTGTCCGTCTGTCAGGGTTGTTGCAGACCGACGACAGGCTGGCTCTGAAGGAAATCACCTGCCAGTTGAGATTGGAGAATGCAACAGCAAATAAAGTCTTTGGTTCTTTTGCAGGTTAGCTGTGTTATCAGGTTTATTATTTTGAGCAGTTTGTCTCATGCTATTGAAGTAACAAAAAAATATTTGGTAACTGGAATTCACTTCAAATAAAAATAAAAGTATAGACTTCAAATATTACCCAGATCTTTGAATGGAGTGAAAGTAGGTGCCACCCAGTGTGTTATCAAACCTTTTATTTCTACCATCAGAAAACTTGGCCTTCCTGCTTGAGTCACTCCGCAGTGGTAGCAAAGAGACATCAAAACCTGTGATCTTCCTTCTTGATGAGTTTGACTTATTTTGTCACCATCACAACCAGACTTTACTCTATAATCTCTTTGATGTTGCTCAGTCAGCCCAGGTCAGCAACACAAGCTAAATCTGTTTAAAAGTCTTGATTTTACATTTAAGTTTGGATATAAATTTGTAACAATACTGATGTAAACAAGCTTGAAACATCCAGACCTATTATGCTCTAGTATTCACAGTATTGTGATTATGCACTGAACCTTCATTTGTCTCATACATTTTATCCCAAACAGGCACCAATTTGTGTAATAGGCCTGACTTGTCGTCTTGATGTTATTGAACTCCTGGAAAAGAGGGTCAAGTCACGATTCTCACACAGACAAATTCACCTTTTCTCTGAGGAAAAGTTTGAGCCACAGTATGTTAATACCATAAAGTTGCTCTTGAGTTTGCCAGAAACATTTCTCCACAAGGTATTGGCTTTGTTACAGTTACAGAAAATTGATAATAATGTGATATTTCCACTTACATCTTTACTTGTGTGTAAGTTTGCAAGTTGGCATACTTGTTTCCATATGGCAATTAGGAGTAAGAGTATCATTCATATTTGAATGAATAATAAAAATAATGAAATTAAATACATTTTAACTAACTTTTACAGAGTTTTGTCAAAACCTGGAATGCTCAAATAGATGATTTGATGAAAGCTGATGATGTCCTGAGAGTTACCAAAAGACTGTACGATACAACACATGATATTAGGGCTCTGAAGACCTTACTGGTGAGAGCAGCACCAGTATGAATGTTGCATAAAGAGGCATGATGTTTTATGCATGGTTTACCAAAATTTGTAAAATCAGAATCAATCACACATTTGTAAAAGTTAAAAGCCAATTACATAATAAAAATCTTATATAAGAATCTCTCGGGTATACATCAAGCATAACCAGATTACAAATACTAAGAGTATTAAATTTGATTAATTCTGCAGTGAGGTAACATTAGCCAAATAATGTCAGTATAAATTCAGCAGTTTCATTCCTCTTCCAGCTTCTATGTGTGAGCCAACTTAATGCAGATAGGCCTAAGCTGACACCAGATATGTTTACTGCAGCACAGCCCATCATGAGAGCTGAAGCAAAAACTAATATGTTACAGGGACTGTCTATTCTGCAGCTTTGTTTGGTGAGAGAAGTTACATTTGTAGTGTTTTTTTAAGTTTTATCTTTGGTGTAAAGTTTATTAATGCTTATAATAACACTACATTGTTCCTATAAATTTCATAGAAATCTCTTCAGAGTTTCTCCACAGCCTTTGCCCCAAAGCATTCATAGTTGTCAATATTAGGTAGTACTATAAAAAGGTGTTTCACATGAAATCATATCAGCATTATTCCCTGCAGATTATAGCCATGAAACACCTCACAATGATCTATGAAGGTGAGCCATTTAATTTTGAAATGGTATTTCACGAATACCTGAAATTCAGCCAGAGGAAGTCCACCATGCAGAGCTTTGAGCGTCCAGTCGTGTTCAAAGCCTTTGATCAACTTAAGGTGAGATGAATTGGTTTTCATTATTATTGAATTCATTCTGGTGTGTTTACAAAATAAAGATGAAAGACAAATGACATTATATTCATGTCATAGATGGTTCCCACTGTAATAACATCAACTGACTTTTTCAAAATTTTAGTGCCTTGAGCTGGTTCGGCCTGTAGACAACACTCGTGGGATACAACGTGAATATCAGCTCGTGCAGATGATGATTACACCACTACAGGTGATGGACTCTCTTAATCAACTCCCTGGAATACCAACAGATGTGCAACAGTGGGCTACCTGCTCATTTGCATAATTCTAAACCGTTAACTGTTTACTTTTATGTAGAGTATTTTATCCTAATTTAGTACTGATGAATGATTCCTTATTTTTTTGTAATTTTTTTAAAATAAAAAGCAACAGCATTTTCTTTGACTGCTTCATTCTCTTTTACAAAAATGTATCATTATTTTTGTATTATGCTTTATTCATTTCACAAGATGTGGAATTCAAACAAGTTATGAAATTAGGTGATTTATATCACTGGAATGGTCAATAAATAAATACAATCTCTCCTTGATGAAAGTTTCATACATTATGATAAGACTAAGTTTATATGTACAGGACACTAACAATTTGTAAAACTCAGAAACATTAACAAAATTGACAAAAAATTATATTTACTTATTTCATATACACTAACATAATTTTGTCTTGAATAATGAACATAATTTAACATATAAAAAAAATATATAAATATATCTAAGGTACATAATCAAAGGCCCAACTTCTAAAGGTGACCATTTCATTATAGTGACATGCTGGAGTTGTGCGATTGTCAGTGTTCTTTTCATCAAAGACATCATACAAAATGTTCCTCACACGAACCACAAGTGCTGGACGGACTCTGTGGAAGAGAAGTCTTATTAAGACATGATATTAATGGTTGCAGTACTGTTCACAGCTTCAATATCATAATGTACTGTCTACCATTATTTAGTCACAATATCACAGTATTGCTTATTAGTAAAATAAAAAGAACAAAAATGAAAAAAAAATCTTAATACATAGATAAACCATACCAACATAATTCATTAAACAAAAATAACTTTTTGTCCTTTGTATTACTTACAACTTCTTGTACTTTCTGGTAAAATTGGTGCACTTTTCTTTTGATGTGTTAGCGCCCACGACAAACACAAATACTAAGTTGGTCTGCTTGTCAATCAGAGTGGCAAGAGCATTCAGGTCCAAAGCTTGTGTGTCTCGCTCTGAGCTGATGAACACTCGTTGTAGACTGTTGCATGCTTCTAAGGCCTTCCAGATGTTAGTGCCAGGGGCTAGGTAATTCTGCTGAATTCTGTAAAAACAAATATGAGGTAATTACAATAAGTTCTGTAAACAGAAAGGTAATATACAATATATAATTTTCTATATTAACCCATTCATGACAGGGTAAGTCTGGCATCTGTGGTAGTAATATGTGTCCCCCTAAGCTCCCTACACTCATCACCCGCCTAATCCCCCCCCCCTCCCTCCCCAGTACTTAAACAACTCAATACATACTTGCCTTAAACAAAAATCAACATTTTAACCCCTTTTATTTACATTGATAGTTTTTAAAAAGGCAGTACCCAAACTTTATAAACAGCTGTTCCTGTTGTGATAACAGGTAACAAATCATGCGTTACCCCAATATGCAACAAGACAACAACATCCACACATCCACAGAAGGCAAGAACATCCCATTTTAAATGACACATAAAGCTACACCTTATCTTCTGCATCATAACAGGCACACTGTTAGCACTTACTCTCCACGCACTAGTACATCAAGTGCAAACCAGGACACCTGATCATCACACATCCAGGGAACATAAGAGCACAGATATAACATCTATCCTCACTGCTACATGATGCTCCACAAGAAGTTACAATAATACAAATTCACATGCTAAGACACCATCCTTCTGTTTATACTCTGTTGATGACTGGTGTTATTGTTAACCTTGGTCCATACCAACCAAAGTATGCTATGTACAAAAGCAGTGAAATGGGGTGAAAGGACCATCCAATGCGATATCTGCTGTAACCAGTCCAGGCATGCTGGCTGGTACCATATCAGCTGCATTAGATCATTTACACAGTTACACATTTACAATGGACTAGTTAATAGCATTAAGTGGAGACCTTAAATTATGCAGATAAACAGATGTTCAAAATCACAAGCAATCAGATTGACAAATAAACAGGATTACTTACACTAAGCAAACATGAGTAACAGCATAATGCTCACATTCAGAAATACATGACATACCACACTGGTAGCTTCTTACAAACATACTTTCCACATACCATTTGCGACTGAAACAGACTCCCACAACATATAATACATGTAAACATGCCAGACACCTTCCACCACTAGCACACTTTAAACACACACAAATACCAATGCTTAGCCACCCTCATTTCCCCCCCCACACACACACACAAAACATCCAACTCCCACATAAGCATGATATGTGCTAATGCACAATGCCCTACAGTTGAATCCAATTGAGATTGGGAAGGTGTGTTAGTGCATACTGTTCCATGTCTGGTCTTGTCCAGGCATTTGAGGCATCATCCCAGCTGCTAGGATACAGGCTCATGATGTTTAATTTCATTTAGCATCAGGGAAATTTTCATCAGAACATGATTAAACATAACCCAGCATGAGTGGATTAATGACTTTTTCCTATTACCCTACCCACACTCGATAATGTCATGTCATGGCAAAAATGTCTCACACCAGGCAACATCCTATCGAGCCTGCTCTAAGTTGGCCATGCCTGTAGTCACTGAAGAGAAAAAAAGCCTCTTTGTAGCCTCATTTCCAAAGCATTTATGATGCAACTAAGAGTAGATAGTGGGGTAACGGTACGTTCTGCAAACCTAACTTTTCACTTGAGCAGCTGATTCTTAAGTGACGTCTGACAAAAGGCATCATAATACATCTATGCACCCACATCCACAAAACATAAAATAGGTGAGGAAAAGGTGCGAACAAACATTACCTGAGATTAACTAAATTTTTGCAATAAGCAAGAGCTTGTATAAGTTGGCTGAGGTACACACACTTCCCTGAGGGTCCCAAACTTCTCAGGCGAAGGAATTTCAAATTAGTACATTCTCTTGTAATCTGAAAAAAAAAAAAAAAAAAAAAAAAAAAAAAAAAAAAAAACATGCAGTAATAAAGATTACACATAATGTATAAAATCCTTTGAACAATACTCATTTCTTACATTAATGATTATTGAAACAAGAAAATTTATATTTACCACAATAAGAAAATTTCCATTTGTAATAGGAACTCCATCCAAAGTTAAATGGGTAAGTCCCTTTAATTTCTTTATGTTTTCCAAACATTCCCAGAGTACCTTGGCTGGACTACATGATGTACTGGAGAAGAGAATGTTGAAGAATTACTGTTTCCATCAGAACCAAAATACTTCATGATAATTAGTAATTACCTAATGAAAGTGCAAACATATGTAGACACAGAAACTTTCTTTGAAATAAATGTGCACTCACATGTACACACAGCAACTTAATTCAAAATAAATGTGCACTCACACAGACACTATACAGAAATCACCCTCTCTCAAATAAGTGTGCACGTATACATAATGCATCCCCTCTCACCTTGTGTTAAAGCCAATCTCTAGCATGACAATATGCGGACAATTATCAAACACCAAGTTGAAAGCAGCTACTGCAGCATTTGACTGACACTGGGTAATCCCTACACGCCTTTTCTTAAAACCTCCTGTATAGACTACCTCAGAACTTGCTCCTTTAATCTCCTTGTCTGGCAGCTTCTCTGTAAAAAAAAAAAAAAAAAAAAAAAAAAATGATAATGATAATACAACAATATTAAAAATGATAATTGACAATTCATATCATCAAGTTCACCACTGAATTGCATTTTACTGTATATATATATATACATATATATATATATATATATATATATATATATATATATATAAATTCATAGGTAAATAACCATACATTAATAAATATCCGACTTTATTACATTAATACATACCAATGAGAGCACAAACTGGGACTGTGAGATGTGTCAGGTTATGAAGCAGTGCAATTCCATTTACAATTTTGGGAGGTCCGTGTTCTGGTTGGCAGCATATACTGAGTCGTTCCAGCTTGGGCAGTTTTTCACTAACTTTTCTTGTATCCTGCAATATATCATTCTTATGCCACAACTTGGAACTATGAAGATGCACTTTAATGCATTTCTTGGTTAGTGCCGTATTCTGCACCTATCACCTAATATGAAGAAATATCAAAGGAAATACTAAAAACTATTTCAAATAGGTAAAAAAGTTGACAGATTTTACCACTGTAACATTCAATCCAAATAGGACATGCAAACATTTGAGCTTCGGACATGAACTAATGATGTTGGACAGATTTGTATTGACTGGTGTCTGGCCCTTTACTGATAATGCAGTCAAATTGTGCAGGATACCAGTCTTTTGAACCATCTCACGGAAATAGGGCGTGAGCGCAAGGAATAACGTAGAACACTTGCTCAGCACAAAGCTACCTGGAATTAAGTAACTGAATGTTAGTTAAGAAAATAATGGTGCATCTTGTACAAAACTATCAAAAAATTTATCCCCAAAATACTGGTTAGATACAGTATCAGAACACTGACTAGACCAGTGAAACTTGAAAATTGTTCCTTTTAAGAGTCCAGTCTCAGAAAAGGAAACTGGTAATTCTCTGGAATATTCCAATTTACCAATCTGTCTTTTTTCTATTTATTTCATTTCATTTTATTTTATTTCTTAATCAGAAAACAATTATTGCTGATATTTACAGATTTTGAATTTTGAAACATACATATAACATTCTTTTGTTTTTATTTCCATTTATAAATTCTAATCTTATTCATTATATTCTTTAATTGGCTGCCTTCAGAGCACTGTATTTCCTTGAATGAGACTTGGCAAATCAGAGAATTCTGAGTCCAGTGTCAGTTGTCACATCTTCCTTTCCTGAGACTGGAAAATGTAGAAGCTGGCTACAAGGAAATGTACATTTCCTTAGATGTTATCCTCTAAGCTATCCTAAAATTGATATCCACTGGTACCTTGAATATTGCATACTAGCTAAATTTCCGACCTATCACTCAACAGAAGGTAGATATGCTTTGTTCTTAAAATAAAGTGACATCCTGTAGACTGAAAAAATGAAGTGATTGTGAAGGTCCTACCTAATCTTCTAACATGTTCTGTATCCATCTGAATTTCTGTGTTTATCCAATAGGTTTTCCACTCAGCTGAAGAATTGTACCCTTGAGATATACTGTCAATGAGGCTTCTGAAAAAAAATAATAATAATAAATAAATAGTGATGACATCTTTGAAAATAATGGATATATTTTTCCAAAAGCAACATTTTGTCTCTGGTTAGGTATGACTTAGATTTAATAAATACAACAAAAATGTTTTGTTTCAGAAATGCAAATCAATCCATTTGTTTCATAATGTTTCACAAGCTACCAAAAAGTACTACTGATGAGCAGTATTAACAGTTGTTCATTTCACTGAAAGATACTGTATTAACACATGAGTATACTGATAATGCATCCACAGAAGAGACAAAATCACAATATACACAAGACAAAAATGTACTCACACAATAAGACTAAATGGAAATGCCCCATCAGCATGGTCTATCACAAGTTCTTCCAGATGTGGGAAGTCTAGTTTGTATTTATGACCTGTTATTGATGAATTTAAATATGATCAGAGCAGATAGTAATATCAATATCAATTCCTCATTTTTTTCTATGCACTAAAAAAGCATTAAATCCACAATAAATTCAAACAGTATACAGATCATATTATAATCAACATTAACCCAAAGGCCCAATGTGTTGGCCAATGACACTATCCACTGGCATATTTTTGTGATTCTGTTTGCACACAGACCACACCACAAGAGCTCTGCCACCAAGCAACCAAAATTAGTAAGCCTACATGTTCTCAGGTGATTCAGCCTTTCCTGAGTTTTCTGGATTTTTTTTCTAAAGCTATTAATATTAATGTTATTATTGTTGCTAGCATAATGATTATTATAATGTTATCCACAATATCAATAGCTTTTTTCTTATCTTTCTTAAAATCAAAGAGAAGGATAAACAGATGAGCTAAGTAGGGCTACTAATTGATTACCTGGCAATTAAGCACTTGTGGAGCCATCTACGTGTAAAAACAATCAATAAAAAAAGCCACCGTAGACCTGGCATGTATTCTTGCCATCCCACCAACATTGATTGAGTTTGAAGACTGTCTTACTGTTCAAATCCCTCGGAGTGGAAAAGTAACAGCGTGCATGATGATTGCTAATGGAGAGCTTCCTCAAACCCTTGCAAAGTGTGAGAAGTTCCAGTATTGGTGCTGGGTTGGAATAAATCAGTATCTGCAGCGACTTTAAATCATTCAGTATATCTGCTACTTCCTCAAAGCCACCTATCCATTGCTGTCTATTTTCAGACTCCATATCATCTGGCCAGCTTATTGATAAATCCTGAATCTGAAACAAGAAGGATTTTGTGTCAAATTACACAACTGGGGGAGGGGGAGGGAGAGAGAGAGAGGGGGGAGTAGAGAGAGGGGGGAGAGAGAGAGGGGGAGTAGAGAGAGAGGGGGGAGAGAGGGGGGGAGTAGAGAGAGAGGGGAGTAGAGAGAGAGGGGGGAGTAGAGAGAGGAGAAGTAGAGAGAGAGAGAAGAGAGAGAGAGGAGAGAGAGGGAGGAGGGAGGGGAGAGAGAGAGAGAGAGAGGAGAGAGAGAGAGAGAGAGAGAGAGAGAGAGAGAGAGAGAGAGAGAGAGAGAGAGAGAGAGAGAGAGAGAGAGAGAGAGAGAGAGAGAAGAGAGAGAGAGAGGAGAGAGAGAGAGAAGAGAGAGAGAGAGAGAGAGAGAGAGAGAGAAAGAGAAAGAATGAGAGTCAAAGTCAAAGTCAAAACATTTTATTCTATTAATTACAATGGTTATTCTTTATATAAATACATTCATATCTACAGTTGATTATTTAATAGGTGTTCTTTTAATTTCGTTTTGAAATTACAAAAGCTATTAATGACTCTTATATTATCTGGTAACATGTTCCATAGCTTGGGTCCACGTATTTCCATTTGTCGTGCCCCTGTATCAGTCCTCGATCTCTTAACATAAAGAGAGTTTACTTGGCGTGTCACGACACCTGATGTGGTCCCTACAGTTTGCAAGGGCATTAACCATTGCCGATAATTCCTATGAATGAGCTTGTAGATGAATACACATGTATCATAACTGCATTTAGGTTGGACTTTTAACCAATTTAATTTTTGGATATGTGCGGCTAATGTGATCA